GGTAACGCACGCCTGTAATTCCGGCTACTTGGAAGGTTGAGGCGTTAGGATCGCCGGAGCCCAGCAGGTCAAGGCTGCAGTGACTGCTCCCGGTCTGGGCGACAGAGTGAGACTCCAACTCAAAAAAAAAAAAAAAAAAAAAAAAGATTTCATTTAATATTTGAAATAGGCAACGCATGCATTTGGTTCCAAATTCCAAAATACAAAAGGCTACATGGTGATAGTAAACCTTGCTACCTTCCTGTCTCTTCATCGCACTTTTTCTTGTGATTTCTTCAAGGGTGACTCCAGGTATTTTTAAGATAAGTGTCAGTTTAACTTAAAACAGGAAGCCAGGTTTGGTCTTGATCAATACCAAATGTTATGGTACTGTTAGGATAACAAACTATACATATTATTAAATTTTTGTCATTTCCACCTGTCATTATGTTATTTTCTGTATACTTTCCTCAGCAATGTTTATATTTGTATAACTCACAATAGCTATTGAGTTTTTTTGATGTGTATTATCTCATTTTCTCTAAAGCACCATCTATGAATATAATTTCCAACATTCTACCTTACAAGACAGGTTATAAGTGTCATGATTTTGCCATATATGTATTTAGATATTTTCAAAATGTCAAATACAATGTTAATAATGTTTTATAAAGTTTTACTGTGACCTATCCAAAAAAAATTGTGAACTGGGAATTAATAATTGGGAGGTAGATTTTAAATTTTGTGCATATGACAAGAGGCACATGTGCCTTATGACCAGCTCTTAGTGATAGGCAGCTGGGTTCCACATAAGTGCCTGGCTGGGGCCTCCCCAGGTCTATGAAGGGCCAGGGAGAGCTTCTGTTATCAAAGGTCTAGCTCTCCCCTCTCTAACCCACAGCAGAGTTAATAATTATTGAGTCTAAAAATTGACTCAATTTTTAGACTCAAAAAAGTGACTAAAAAGTGACTACTGTTTTTGAAAACAGAATGAAAAGGTCTAAAGAGACGATGGATCCCTACTCTACACCTATACCCAACAACAAAACTGCTAGTAGGCTTATAAAGAGGTAGGATACTTGTATTTTTTGACTTGGCCTATCAGTTGGAGAAAAAGAAGCAATATATCTGGACACTTCTCCCCAGACATCACGGAAAGGAATCACATCACAGAACATTAGAAGACTAGAGGTGCTACAATATGTTTTCTGGGCCTTGTAGCATCACCACTTTCAATTAAGAAGAACCCCTTTGAAATTACTATCAGTTTTATCCAAGAATTTTTTTAAGCTCACCCAGTAAGTTTTGCATGCGGCTTAGCGCCATTCAGAAATGAGTAAAACATAATGGTTGCTTTCAGTGACCTTACATTTCAGTTATTAGAAATACAACAATACCCAAAACATTTATAATACAAGACAGAATATGAAAAATGTCTAAGAGGAACACAATGAGCTTTCATTAAGCATATAATAACAATACAACTTATAAATGTGCCCTTACAAACCTCAGAATTGAAAGAAGTTTAAGCCAGAAGAGGAACAGAACATAGGCGTGCCCTTTTTTAGAAGGCCCAGAGATGAGCACTTCTTTTATCATTATGTCTTACAAATGTTAAGGAGGTCATAATACACATCACTGCCAGGATAAACTAAAGCCAGTATATTATAGGGTTAGATTTGGCGTCATCTCAGGAAATAATTATGTGATGGTTTGTGAAATCTTATTTATTACTCTTAGTTGAATAGCTGAAAGCTCTTTCTAATTTGTTTAACTGGAATTGTCATTTAGGTAAATCATATATTTTTAAAAATTGCTTTATAGGCTCTATTAGATAAAGAATATATGCCCCAATCCATCATTTTATATTGGCCACCTTCCAAATAAAGTACACACTTCATTTTATTGGACAGTTTCCAATACTATCCATGCATTGTTTAAATAGAAGCTGTTTATTTCTTTTAAAACATGCTTGTTTTAAAGAAAAACATATAAAATAACTTTTCTATTTTCCTATATTGTGGAGAGAATATACTTTTAGTTGTTCAATATTATATAGGATTAGAATGAATCGTCTGATTGTGGTGCTTGAAACCCTATACACAGTTCCTCTAAATTCCTGGTTCCAGATTATTAACTGAGGCTTCTCTCAAGCCACTGTTTAAATTAAGCATAGGTGTCATTCATTTAAGGTGATTTAATTGAGTAAGGATTGATTTTTCTCATCACTCATTATTGAAGGAGATTAATGTTTATTTTAAAAATCCAGGAAAATAAAATAGTCATTTTGGTTTTATGGTAACCAATTCATAATCCCTTCATAAATCATGTTGAACTCAAAAATGAAAAAAGGGTGCAAAAGGCATTGTTCTTCCTCTCTGATAAGTCAAATTGCTCCAGACCATGGCAAATTTTTCATGTGATCTTATGCCCACAACTACCTGGCGACGTGGGAGTTATCCAGCTGATAGTGTGTTATAGATGGGACCATGGTTACAGATTCAGTCCTTCCTTGTTAGATTGAGTTTCTGCAATGGCAGATCATACTTCTTGCTAGTTAAGCTTGCGTTTGTCATTAAGTGCAAGGAGAAGCAGGTAGAAACAGTGTTGGGAGGTAAATCAATGGACTTCCCTCCCCACTGCTGGACACGGCTACCAGTGATCAGAAACTTGAAGTGTAGTTAGTGGAAGAAGATGAAGAGGAGGATCTTTAAATAGAGAAAAAAAAATGATTCCTCCACAAAAAGTCCTGACACAATTAATACTTTTGAGGAATTTGATAGAGTACTTGTTGAATTTCCCAAGGAGCATAGAGAAGAGGAGGGGAATACTTTATGATTTATTTTAGATCTGTTGTGCCCATCTATAGAGTTCATCTCTAAAAAATAGGATTGATTTGACAATTCGTACACAAGGAATAACCTGCCCCTATCATGTGCTAAGCTTATACTATGTACTTTAAAATATATTATCTTTTTCAGTTCAGTTTCTTCTCTATCCCAAACCTTGGTACTAAATCAGATCCTCAAACAAGCCTTTGAGAGAGTCATAAGGTAATCCAGGGACTGGATTTACTATTCCAGAACATCTTTTATAGGACTAACAGAGCAAGTTTGCAGAGAGTAGAAGGGCACGCTAGACTTATATACCGAAATGATTGTGGTTTCTTTGGGATCAAAATTGTAGAGGCAAGCCTAATGATTAAAAAGCAGAACATTGGGATCTGGATAGACAAAGTCATAGAAAACCCAATTTCATCTTTAAAGGCAATACTCATTTTGTCTTGAAAACGTTCTTGTATCCCAGTGTTAAAAAATCAAGGATGGTATTAAACCTATGTATTTTTAAAGAATCCTCCCTTTTTATTTCTAAAGAATAAAATGCTTGATAAATACTTTGATGTTATACTAATGTGTTTTTATGAATTACATTTTACCTCTATTTCATTAATCACTCCATAATTTCATGACTCTGAATGTAATTTCTCCAAGAAAATCAAGTGAGGCGCTTTTTTCTTTGTTAGTATTCACAGAACAAATTGCTCAAATGGAAAGCTCTAGTCAGCTGTTTTGTTTCATGGGAGAGTAGTTCATCAGTTCTCGGGAGAATTTGTGTTCGACCTCTCCGCACAAGACATTCAGCTTCCAACAAACTGGGCTTGCAAATATGTCCCCAGAGACTAATAACAAACATTCCAGCACAATTCTATGATGCCTGTTTTAGGTTATTTTTGATTGATGGCCTGAAGTTACGACTTTAGTTATTTTTAAGATTGTTTGTTGAGCTTTTAAAAAGCACGAGGGTAGGGGGTGGGGAAATAGCCTTCTTATTCACAATTTGAACTATAGCTCTAATTGCACGTTTTCCATCAAGTCAAGCACACCCACAGCTGACTAACCCATGACTTTTCCATTCTTACATCTCACGTGATCCTTGAGTGGGATTATAGCAGCTAATATAGTTCTCATTTCAGAGTTAAAGAAAGTAAGAGCCACAAAAGTTAAATGGTTTCCCTAACAGTGCACAAATTCTATACTGTGCTAAAACAGCCAGGACAAGAATCTGCAGCTTCTGATTTTTAACCCAATACTCTTCTTAGTATGTATGTTTTTGATTTCAAGCCAAAATCAAATAAGGAAGTACACATAGGTCTGCTCAACCTCAAACTCAGAACCGGGGGGGAAAATAGAAGCCTAAAAGTAGTACCTATTTACTATCTATTCTAATGCCTGCATAGTTTTAAAATATGTGGTTTACACAGACTAACACTACATTCAGAGGATATATTTTTTCTCACTTATCTCACTTAACTCTTCTAAACGTTGTCAAATTCAGTCACACATGACACCAACATTTCAGTTTAAATGATCGGTATTAGTGCTCAAGGACTGTGCCTCCTGGTAAACACGTTACGTGGTAGTCTCCGAGGTCATAAGCATAGACCTAGAAAGGCCCGTGCAGCTCCCAACAGAAGACTGAAATATTTGAACAAACAGTTTAAAAACTATTTAGTGGAAGTACACCGGTGTGCCAAGGTTAAAGTAAAATCCTTTAATAATAGCAGGAGATGAACCACCTATTCTGCTGTTTCTTTGATATTCTCCTCAGCTGGTTTTCAAAAGACACTTGAGCTATCTCCAGCCATCCTTGCAGAGAAAATGAAAGAACTCTGTCTGCCATGGCAGGTCCTTAAGGTTTTGCCTTCTCTTCCCTAAATTTTATTCTCAGTCCTTTGACATATTTACCACATAGATACCATATATGATTTAATTCACTCTTCAAGTGAATATATAACATGCAGATTCTTAACTCTTTCATATTTGAGTCTCTATCCTTTATGTTATTGATAGAATTTGCATATGTGTCTGGGGGCTCCAAGTTTTTCAGAGACAGGAAGTTTCCATTCATTCATCTATTCAGTCCTAAAACATTTACTGAGCTATGCCTCCTGAAATACAGATGAAATAAGCAACAATCTTACCTTTGAGGAGCTAACAATGGAGTGAGAGAGACACACATAGGACAAAGCGACGGTTAATGAAGTGTGGCAAAAGAAAGATAGGTGCAGGTATAAATTAATACGAGCAATAACTCTCTCCTGGGATACGTAAGAATGCCACAAAGAGGAGGATGTATAATTGGACCTTGATTGATGAGGAGAAACACTGGGTTGAACAAGGTAGATGGGTAACAAGGAGAAAAGCACTAGTGCTAGGAGAAAAGTCACGCATGAAGGCTCAAAGGCATAAAAGGACATCATGTATCTAAAGAATAGAAAGCCACCGAAGTGGCTAAAGCATAGGTGGAATGTGTGTGTGGGTTGAAAAGTCTGGGGCTGGGAAAGGGTTGGAAGTGGTGAGAGAGGTAGGAATGAGAGGGTAGTAAGGCATCTCTTTGCCAAGTGATTAGACTCTATTTTACAGTCAAGGACAAGCTGTTAGTAGAAAGATGATCAGATAAGTCTGAGAATTTTTTTTTTTTTAGCATTTTGGTGGCTGTTCTGGAGCCCCCCAAGGAAATTGAGCTTATCACTAGAGAACAAAGTCAAGTAATAGAAATGTGCTTCGTTCCACTCAATAGAGAAACAATTCTCTAATAAGATGTTCAGTTCAATGCAAGTCACTATGATCCACCAAAGATGTGAGGAAGGCCTAACGTATGATTTAAAGGAAGCATCTGAGGTGGAATCAACAGAATGTGTTAAGCCATAACCATGTGTAGGGGGCACAGGGAAGAAAAAGAATGATTGAAATATTTGCCCTAGAAGATGAGGTGTATTGTCTAACTGGGCATTGCAAATGATTTCTAAAACTCTTTATAGAGCATGAGAAATATACCTTCCTCAATGAGGCTTCAAAAATGCCCCTAACTGCCTGTCAGTCAGTTCCTGCCCTCAGAGTAATAATTTAAGTTAAAATTCAAAACAAGAAAATGACCACAGGTAAATCCAATTAATTAGTTCAAATTAAGATTATTCTTCCCAGTGTCTGTCTCTACAGAAGTTTTGTATATCAATCATACAAATTTCAAAGACTTCAACATTTTGCATTAACATTTCCCAAGAGCATTTTAATATTCTTTATACCATTTAGATTTAAATTATCCAAGTTCTTCCCTAAAGAAAAGCAGAAGCAAATCTACTTTACAGGATCAATGAAAGACCACAATGGGCAATTGGAATAACTGTGTAGCACTCCCAAATGAGCATAGATATATTTACACAGGTAAAGCTACTTTGAATAACCAGATGAAAATTAAGCCAGAACACCCAGCAGACTTTCAATTAAAGAACAGTGTACTTTTACATATGTGAAAAAGTAATGATTATGGGGTTATTTGCATCTATTTAGTAAAATGTACAGATCATGAATTAGAGATAAAAGTAATCTTAAATACCACCAACTGTATATCCTCTATTTTAAGACACATAATCAACACGATTATTTTATATAGTATAGCCTATCTCTATGGGGAACAAAAAGCTATAATCAAATCAGTGCCGTAACTTATTATAATTGGCGTTTAGAATAAGAATATCTGGTAATTCAATCCCCTCAAGTTATAGCACAAAGAAATAAAATTTCTCAAAAATACAACTCCCTTATTGGAGCCATTATTGAAAACCAGAAAGCCAAAAGTATATCCTAGTACAATTTCAACTTCACATAAGAAAGGTAAAACCCTCTTACTTAAAAAATGTCTAATGTACAATGAGAAAGTAATAGACACATATAGGCAGTCCTTGATGTGCATGATGCTGTGTTAACTAAAACTTGTTACCACAAGCTAACATGGAACCATGCCAGTGCTTTGCACAGTTCCATGGGAGCTGAATATTGAGATAGAGAAGAGAAAAGAGAAGGAGTAGGAAAGAGGGGAGAAGAGGGGGAAGAAAGGTGAGACCTTTATTGTCTCCCTTTCCCCTCTCTTGCATCTACAAAGTTCTCCTTCAGCAGTTCATTCTTTTATTCAGTCGACAAGCATCCCACGTCTTCCCTGTTAATAACTTCCACGACCTCCATCAGCACATAAAACCCTTTCCTGGATATTGCTATGTTCATCTGAATTACTGCCTTTGTTGGCATGCATAATAAAAGAATGATGTAATAAATACTACTTCTATTTATCCACCATCCACTCACTCTTAAAAACCTTTTTTAAAATAAAAGATTACACATACAAGGGGATTGAAGTACATGGAAAATACATATTATAAAAAAATTTGCCAGAGTTTCCAAAATTTTTACACCAAAATAAACCTGTACTAACTTGTTCTAAAATGTCTGAAAAGGGTGTAGTTTGAAACACTAAGGAGGATAACACATCAGTTTGAAAAGAGCCCCTATCAGAGCAACATAAATTCTGTTAAAATTGAAACAAGAGCAAACATCAAATTTATGGTGAGACTTGGGTGGAAGAATGGTGAAATCATTGATGCTTTGTGAAAAATGTATGAGGAAATACCCCCAAAGAAATCAGTTTACAAGTGGATAACTTGTTTTAAGAAGGGATGAGATGATAGTGAAAATGAAGCCCTCAGTGGCAGACCATCCACACTGATTTGGGGAAAAAAAAATTAATCTTGTTCATGTCCTAATTGAAGAGGGTTGACAATTAACAGCAGAAATAGTAGCCAATACCATAGACTTCTCAATGGGTTCAGCCCATACAATTATGACTAAAAGATTAAAGTTGAGAAAACTCTCCACTCAATGGATGCCAAAACTGTTGTGTTCAGATTAGCTACAGACAAGATCAGAGCTTTGAATAGATATTTTACATAAGTGGGATCAAGATCCTGAAGCATTTCTTAAAGAATTGCAACAGGAAATGAAATGAGCTTTATCAGTATGATCCTGAAGACAAAGCAAAATCAAAGGAATGGCTACCAAGAGTTGAAAGTTGTCCAGGCAAAGTAAAAGCAGACAGGTCTAGAGCAAAATCATATCAACAGTTTTTTGGAATGCTCAAGACATCTTTCTTGTTGAATTTCTGGAAGGCCAAAGACTGTTAACATCTGCTTAACAGAAGGGTGTTTAGAGAAAATTAACCAAAGTTCTCGGGGAAAAAATGCCTGGGAAATCTTTACTGGAGAGTCTTTTGCACCTCAACAATGTCCCTGCTCATTCCACTCATTAAACAAGGGCAATTTTGTGAGTGTTTCTGTGGAAAATCATTATGCATCCACCTTACAATTCTGACTTGATTCCTTTTAACTTCTCTTTGTCTTAAAAATAATATTTAAAGGATATGCGTCTTTCTTCAGTTAATTATGTAAAAAAACACTGCATTGACTTGGTTAAACTCTCAGGACCCACATTTGTTTAGGGATGGACTAAATGGCTGTTATCATCACTTACCAAAGTATCTTAAGCTTGATGGAGCTTATGTTGAGAAATAAAGTTTATATTTTTGTATTGTTATTTTGTAACTCCATTTTTCTCTGAACTTTTTGAAGTCCTTTCCTATAGAAAATAATTTTTATAACGTATATACAAAGTATAAGGAATAGCAAATTGGCTTAAGAAACCAAATATCCCCTATATATTTGAAACCTTCTGTGCAGCTTCCCAATTCTTTTTCTAACTCTGGAAGTTAAATAATCTTAAATTGCATCCTGAATTTTGTGTTAATCATTACTACATTTTGAAAAATAGCTTTAATAGCACATATTTATAATTTCTAACCATCCATTTTGGTTGTTTGAACATTATATAAATATTCTGGTGTATTTACTCTTTGAAACTTGCTTATTTACTCAATATTATAAAGTTCTTCTGCACTGAAAAGAGTATCTGCAAGTCATCTGTTTTTATTGCCCTATGACAAGATGTTGTCAGACCATACATTTATTTATCCATTTTCCCTTTGATGAACATTCAGGCTTTTTGTTATAGCTAGATAAACTATATTGCTGTGAGCATTCTTGTACATGTTTTTCTCAAATTTACACACTTGGGAGTGAAATTGCTGAGTCACATGAAAAGTACGTCCTCGACTTTAAAATATAATGAAAAATAGTTTTTCAGAGTGACTTCATCCATCCATCTTGCATTCTCATTTTCACTGGGTAAGAGTTCCTATTGCTTATTTATCCTCACCAATATTTGATATTGTCAGCCTTGCTAATCTTTTCTTACTTAGTAGGTGCAAATGTAATTCATTATGGTTTGCTGATCAGATCAATGTAAATTTCATGAATTAAGAGTAGATTGTTCTTTCTTTAAAATCTATATTTTCCACTTACAGGAGAAAAATATTTGCTCACATATTTTGCCTATTTTTCCATTTGTTTATTTTAATTATCTTATTTATTCATAGAAATGTATACATTTTGTATTCTAATCCTTTGTCAGTTTCCTGTGGCAAATGTCACCTGTTATATTATGGCATGTCGTTTCACTCTTTAAATAGTGTCTTGAAGTCAGCAATTTTTTAATAAATCTATCTTTTCATTTATAGTTTGTGTTTCATGATTTTAAAAAAAATTCTAACCTAAGATTTACTCCTTTATGATTTGCCTTTCATATTGCTGATGGAATTGTTTTGAATACGGTATGAGGTATGTATTTATTTCAGTTTTTTGCTTCATGTGTAACCAATTATTTCTGTGCCATTTCTTGAGTAACTAATGTTTTCTCCCACTAACCAGAAATCTCATTTTTGATATATTTGTTTACAACAAATTGTTCTACTATCATAAAGTTTTTAGACATGTTTTGCTGCATTTATGACAAGTACAATTTCTATTGCACTTGAATGTTGTACTTTTTAACATTGTATTTCTGATGTAGAGAAATTCTGTTGATCATTATATATTGATTTTGTTTCAAGGAACCTGCTTACTTCTCTTTCAGTGATTGTTAATGAGGCTGAGGACATTTTCAAGTTTATTAGCCAGTGGGTTATCCTCTTCTGTATATACATTCAAGTCTTTTGCACTTTTATTGGGTTGAGCTCTTTGTTGATTAATGAGTAACAATACCTTCTTAAACTCTATGGTTCTCATTTTCCCTCTTATTTGACA